CAATTAAAACGGTTAAATAAATTGGAATTTGAGCTGAGCGAATTTTATTTTTCAGCAAAATAAAATTGTGTAGTTTCGGCAAATAGATATTCACCAATCAGCAGTAACAGATCTTTAACAATCAGTAACAATGAGCAGTTTTGATTTTGCAGAGGAATTGTGTGTATATATGCTATGAAGTGACTTAATCACCATTAAATCTTGGTGCGATTCGAACCTCCTGAGTCTCAACATTTCTAAAACTAAAGCTTTGTCGTATAGAAACTCGCTGCAGCCTTTTGAACTTAACAACACCACCATTGAATTCTTAGGGCTTGTTGTAGACAATTCTCTGATACATGCATATCGAAGCTTTGTCGAAAAAATTGAGTTCTGCCTATTTTGCATTAAGGTCTGTTTCTAAGGAGCTTAACTTGTCAGTGGCTAGAACTGTTTATTATGCACTTTTTGAGTCGCACCTCAGGTATGCCCTTCCATTCTGGGCTACGTGTTGTGCGACTCAATTTGACCGCATTTTCAAGCTCCAGAAGAGAGCTGTTCGATATTCACTGGGACTAAACAGCAGAACTCATTGCTAGGACTTTTTTAAAAAATTAAAAATATTAACTCTTCCTTCCTTATTTATATTTGAATCCGTTTGCCTAATACGTAAGCATGTATCAGCTTCTCAAGAAAGGCCATCTCACACTTATCCACTCAGGAACGCGGAGCAAGAGTTTTATCTACCTACCCCACGCTCAGAGTTAGTTAAAAGTTCAATATTATACAAATCGAAAAAAAAGCACAGTCATCTGCCATTTGAAATCAAATCCATAACATCATTTTCTTCATTTCGCAAAGCATTGAACTCTTATTTACTAGACAAGACTTTCTACGCCCTAAATAAATTATATTTTGATAATCGAATTTGATCTTGTAAACACTGGTCTAATGTTTGCTATTGCTATATTTACCAATGACATCCAAATAAATTTATTTAGAGGTCAGTGATATTTACTAAACTAACTAAATAGTTTTGAATATTATTTTTATTTTTTTTTATTCTTTGACATTGTAAACATTTATAAATATTTATTTTATACAATAAGACTTCTGTATTATCTTTTGTTTGCATGTTTGTGTACCTTGTTTGTTTACTTTTTTTTATTTAGTTTATCTTTGTCTATAAATTGTAAAATTTTTTGACAATAAAGGCATTTGAAAGAAAAATCAGGTCCGTATTTAAAAAAATTAAGTTGATGATGGTCGCCAGAAGCCGAAACGTCAGAGTCAATATTTAATTTTTTTCATTTTAAGTTATCTTAACAAATAAAGCCAGGAAACAATAAAAAACAAAATTGAAAATTCCGTTTTTTTCGAATATATTCGGAAGTATTCGGAATTTTTCAAAATGCAATACGGCATTTTATTGAGCATCAAATTGCGCAACTTTGCCTCTGTTTAACCGATCCTGTATTTCTTACGGTTTCCGAAATCCCAATGACGAGCGTCGAATTCGAGCCACCCAGTACATATAAATAAAATTAACTTTAAAAATAAGTCGTTCTTTAACAATACCGAAACATAATTATAAAATTTATATTAACTACAGCAAACTTCCGTTTATCTTAACTTTCAAGGCAATCTATCCAACACAACCCACAACATTATCAATTACCTAACTTCTCCAGAACAAAACCTTCTTCCGATATCCTCAAAGAAACTCGTTACGAAATTTCCGGTCTACACTCCCCCACCCTTTGTGTATCTTCACCCCCTCCTCCATCTTTATCCCCACCCCCATTACCGGTTTGGCACCCTTTGTGCTTCGGTTTTCATCTTTGCCCCTGTTGCCGGTCTTTAGCTCTTTGGTTTGTGGTTGTAACGGTGCGAAATTATATTTCGTGACGTCAGATTACAAGCGGGCTTTACTTGGCATTTGCGTATAGCTTTCTTGACAGGACCTAAGCTCAGGTATTATCACAGATAGCATTATACTAAAATATGTTACCTGTGGTATTATGTAATTTTGTAATACGTACGTAACAATATTCTGATTAAGCCACCAAAATCCGTGTGTTAGTTATATAATTTTTTAGATCTTAACGTCGAAATTAAGCAAAGAATTTCAAGAAGGCGTCCATTCTTCTCAAAGAGATCTGGTTTAAATTAAACAGAAGTAGTCTCAACACAACGAGTGTTGTTTTAATATGTAAAGTATAAAAGTGTGTGTGGATTGAGTTTAATTGTATTTGTCTGATGATGCTCGTATGAGCGAAACAAGTGTCACTGTTTAACTTATAGTGTGGCCAACGGATCTGTAGCTACGGGGTATCGGCAGGGGAACGCAGTTGTAAACAAAACACGCCCAATTTCATTCATAAAATAGGCATGGGCGTACGGTGTTTTATGAAAATAATGTGTATCATAAATATAATATTCAGATTAATAATTTTTTTCAAAAAACTTTATGCTGTTTGAACCGTTACTGTTGAGTTAGACCAATATTATACCACATAACTACCACGTTGTCTTCTAGCAAGCCAATAGAATGCGGAGTACCACAAGACTCAGTACTAGGCCCTGTTTTGTTTCCTCTTTTTATTAACGATATTGCTAACATAAAATTCAGTGGCAAAATATGTCTTTTTGCGGACGACACTAGCTTCACTTGGAGCAACAAGGACATCACGGCACTTCATAGGATTATATCAAATGACTTAATCACCATTAAATCTTGGTGCGATTCGAACCTCCTGAGTCTCAACATTCCTATAACTAAAGCTTTGTCGTATAAAAACTCGCTGCAGCCTTTTGTACTTAACAACACCACCATTGACGTCGTAAAATCTGTAAAATTTTTAGGGCTTGTTATAGACAATTCTTTGAAATAGGACATGGATCTCTTTCTAAAGGCGGGTTCTCACTTGTCAGTTTCGCTGACGCAGTCTGACTGATTCATTATCAATGAAAAATAAAAAACAACGATTGTATTCACACGTTTCATGTTTTGCTACATTCAGTATTCAGTTGGTCCAAACATTCTAATGTGGTGATTTCGTATAGACATGAAAATGGTTAAAACAAAATTGAAACCAGGTGTTCGCGAAGTTTGTTTACAATTAGCAAATGAATTACAGAATATTCTGGTGAATCAGAAAAGAAAAAAAAAACGTCGTAGATGGTCAGGTCCTGGATATTGCGAAGAAATAAACGGGGTGCTAGTGAAACTATATTAAAAGAATTAATTAACTTAACTTGTAAACTGCACAAATCACGAAAATGTAGTTCTCACGCTTCAGTTTCTATTCATTATTCGATAATGATCAGTCAAAATGAAAAAAAGTAGAACTGGTTTTCACTTTAACTGAAAGTACGAATGTACTGATCATTTAACATGAAAATGTGTTCTGACGTTCATTGTTTGTTCAGTATCACTGAATCAGTCAGACTGCGTCAGCGAAACTGACAAGTGAGAACCCGCCTTAAGGAGCTTAACTTGTCAGTGGCTAGAACTGTTTATTACTGGGTTATCACTTGTCAGTTTCGCTGACGCAGTCTGACTGATTCAGTGATACTGAACAAATAATGAACGTCAGAACACATTTTCATGTTAAATGATCAGTAAATTCGTACTTTCAGTTAAAGTGAAAACCAGTTCTACTTTTTTCATTTTTGACTGATCATTATCGAATAATGAATAGAAACTGAAGCGTGAGAACTACATTTTCGTGATTTGTTCAGTTTACAAGTTAAAGTTAATTAATTATTTTAATGTATATCTCCAAAAAACTCCTTTATGGGTATTTCGCCACTGCACTGCAAGAAAATCTACAAAATAAAATAGTTATTTTTTGTAAACACTTCTGGCGTTAAACCTAAACGGACACTGCTTATAAGAAGTTATGTTTACAGTTATACAAATTGGCTTAACAAAGAAAAAAATGCTTAACGTTTCGGAAAGTCTATCGTCGGAAGCAAAAAAAAATCAAAGAATAAAGAAAAAAAACTATTTAAAATATTTAAATTCAAACTATTATGAGAACACGCTTTTTTTTAAAGCAGATACGTCTACAAGAAACCGTTGACGTTCTGTTAAAATAGAACATCAACGGTTTCTTGTAGACGTATCTGCTTTAAAAAAAACGTTTTCTTCTTTTCTGATTCACCAGAATATTCTGTAATTCATTTGCTAATTGTAAACAAACTTCGCGAACACCTGGTTTCAATTTTGTTTTAACCATTTTCATGTCTGCGAAATCACCACGTTAAAATGTTTGGACCAACTGAATACTGAATGTAGCAAAACATGAAACGTGTGAATACAATCGTTGATTTTTATTTTTCATTGATAATGAATCAGTCAGACTGCGTCAGCGAAACTGACAAGTGAGAACCCGCCTTTATGCGCTTTTTGACTCGTACCTCAGATATGCCCTCCCATTCTGGGGTACGTGATGTGCGACTCAATTTGACCGCATTTTCAAGCTCCAGAAGAGAGCTGTTCGATATTCACTGGGACTAAACAGCAGAACTCATTGCTAGGACTTTTTTAAAAAATTAAAAATATTAACTCTTCCTGCTTTATTTATATTTGAATCCGTTTGCCTAATACGTAAGCATGTATATCAGCTTCTCAAGAAAGGCCATCTCACACTTATCCACTCAGGAACGCGAAGCAAGATATCTTTATCTACCTATCCCACGCTCAGAGTTAGTTAAAAGTTCAATATTATACAACTCGAAAAAAATGCACAAACACCATTTTACAATGTATGATGGGTTTAAGTTTTTGTGTACTATTTCCAAGTCTATGACGTATCTCGTTTCGAATAAATACAGCCATGAAAAAAAAAATAAATTGGTTCCTTTTTTTCAAGAAGAGGGCATAAGATTTGGATTGTGACTTAAGGCAGTATTGACAACTATATTTTTCGAACTAACAATTCTTTTGTTGTAAATGTTTTGATAACGATTTGTTGTTACTATTTTCATGTCTCTACATATTGAGCACATCTCACCTCCATCCACGTCGATGCAAACAGATCCAGGGCAACAATTCTCATTAGAAGTACACCTTCTCCCGTAGCAAGGTTCCTCATCAACTTCAGTTCCGTATTCCTCCAGGAAGTTGTCCTCTCCATCTCTCTGAAATCCAATTTACGCTTATAAATAATTATAATAATAATAATAATAATAATAACTTTATTGCCTAACAGGTATTTACCCATACAAAAGACAATTTAGACATATTAATATGAAATACAGTAATAATTAATAGAATATAAAAAAAATACTGAAAAAGAAAGTGTATATATGTGAAACAAAAGATAGATGAAGAAATAGATAACAATTAACGTTTGAAGAAATGAGTGTCCAGATGCCCTTTGAAACTTTGGAGGGAGTTGTGGAAGAGATCCAAATCTGTCTGTCTACTGATGTCGTTGAAACTGCAACAGGCACGATGTAGTGGAGCTCTGCTTGCAAGGACGGTACTTGGTGTTTTTGTATAAAACGTCGTTTTCATTCTAGTATTTACGGACGGTACATGCCAGCAAAGTTCACCGAGAAGAGAAGGAGAATCCAATAGACAATTAGACAACTTATATAGGAATATGATAGACGAACGAAGTCTATTATCCTTTAACGAAAGGAAATTCCATCTCTTCAACAATCGGCCGTGATCATAACCTTGAGGAGGATATATTCCATCCTCTTTAAAAAACAATAATTTTAAAAAACGACGTTGGACATTTTCCAGACGTTGCTCGTGGCTACTATAAAATGGAGACCACACCAATGCAGCATAATCCAGCCTTGACCTCACAAATGCGTTGTAGAGAGCAATAAGACACGGAATATTGTGGAAGTTCTTAGTTGTGCGTGATATAAAACCCAGTGCCTTCAGTGACGCTTTACAGATTTCCTCTACGTGATAGTTAAAACTGAGACGCTTGTCGATATAGACGCCAAGGTCTTTTACCATATTGCAGTTTCCCATTGTAATGCTGTCTATTTTGTAGTCGTATATGATTTCTCCGTGCTTTAGTGTTATGGTGTTAAAAATGGACATCCTGTACATATTAGTGAGTTTTAAATAAGTGCAAATATTTTCGGGGCTGATAAATCTCGATAAAAGAAACTTATATCTCTTGAATCTTTTTAATGTCGGTATATGATATGGGTAAAAGTTTGCTTATTTTTTTTCTTTAAATTATAAATAAAAATGAATTGAAAAGGACTTCATGTATACTTACAATTGCTCCGCCATGCCCACCATAGCCCATGTTGGCCAACATTTCAGGGGAGAAGCGATTAAAAAGGCCTCCCCAAGCGTTTACTTTGGCTGCTACAAGCAGGATGGCCAACAAAGCGGCGTAGGTTTTCATTTTTCTGAAGTTGTCGTATCTGAAAACAAAAAAAAACATTTTATTAAATTTCAAAACTTTTTCAAATATTTACATTTTTGAATCATCACAATGTCATAAGGCTTCTGAGACTAATCGTGTGATTCGATTCACTAAAAAGAGTCGTAATGCCCATCACTACTATGTGGAGTACACAGTCGCTCACTTGTTAGCCTTTTTAAAAAGGGTAGAACTGTAGAATGTAATTTACAGATCAGAACTAGACCACAATAGATCTGAAAAGATTGCAGTGGAACAGGCCGATAGCTACATCAAAAATATAATCAAACTAGCGTGTCCCAGCGACTTCGTTCGCGTCCAATTTAATCATTTGTAATGGTGATGATAAAGCAAAGCAAGCATTTCCATTAACATACAAACTGGATAAAATTTTCTCACATTTATGTCAGCATGAGAAAAAACAATGGCGATATTATTAGATAACTTGGTAATATTTGAGAGGTAGTTTCATCTCGTTGGAATTTGACTTTCGAAAAATCCGTTTGCCAAAAATAAGCTTTTTTCGTCAAGCAGTTTAAGCAGAATCGTGGTTAAGAAATTACCCAACTTTTTAGAACACCGTGTATGATTTTTTAAAAATTTTCAAAATATGTAAAAAAAACAAATAAATTATGCTTGTCCAAGCGTTTTTCCGAAAGAGTAACCGTTTTTTAAATAACAAATATTGTAATATTTGAGGGGCGTCTTCACCCTCTTGGAATTTGACGTTCGAGAAATCCCTCCTTATCGAACCTCTACACCCCACAGTCAATCCGTTTGCCAAAAATCAGCTTTAAACGTCAAGCAGTTTACGCAGAATTGTGATTACTCAATGGTCATATTTTATGAAACACCCTGTATAAATTTATAAAAAATCTTGAAATATGTAAAACAACAAAATAAAATATACGTGTTTAAGAGTTTTTCCGAAAAACTCACCGGTTTTTAAATAAAAAATATTTTAATATTTGAGGGATAGTTTCACCCCCTTAGAATTCGAGTTTCGAAAAATCCCTTCTTATCGAACCTCTACACCCTAAAGTCAATCTGTTTTCCAAAAATCAGCTTTTTACGTCAAGCGCTTTAAGCAGGATCGTGATTAATCAATGACCATATTTTGCGAAACACCCTGTATACATATATAAAAAATCTTAAAATATGTAAAAAAACAAAATAAAATATACGTGTTTAAGCGTTTTTTCGGAAACTTGACCGTATTTTAAATAAAAGATATTGTAATATTTGAGGGGTGGTTTCACCCCCTTGAAACTGGAATTTCGAAAAATCCTTTCTTATCGAACCTCTATACCCTAGAATCAACCTGAATGCCAAAATTGAGCTTCTTACGTTGAGTGGTTTGAGCAGGATCGTGATTAATCAGTATGTCAGTCACTTCATGACTTTATATATTAGTATAGATTAGTCGCCTGTTCGTCTAATTTGTCTTTTTATAATTCTATGAAGTTATTTAAAAATCTTAGAAATATTGCTCCACTCTGATGCTTCCATTAAGACTTGGGAAAATGTGCCACGAAAAGAAAATAGAAAACCCGTTCATTGAAAATTGCTGCTTTTAAATCTTGTTCCGTTTTCTTCCCGTTTTTCCTCGAAACATCTAATAAAATATAAATCTTACTTGTTTTGGATTTTCGTCGCTTTAAAGGAAATAGAAAAGCACTTCCTGAGCGTACAAAGTAAAATAGAGATCTATTGTACGATTTCCTGGTTTCCTCGAGGGATGATAAAACAGCAAATGTGGATCTATAAAATATAAGAATAAAGCTATATTTATGTTTCTTTGTTTCGAACTGGAATAGAAATGTCCTATTTTATTTGTTTCTGTATCAGTAATACATAATAGAATATCTCAGAAGTGTAAACTCATATACCTTAGCCTACGGTCACACAGAAAGCGTTTTTAGCGTTTTAAGCGTTCTTTTCCATTTGTGTCCATTAAAAACACGCAAAAGACGCGGCAGGTCTGCAGTTTCTATCAAGATGTCAGTTAGTAACGTCGCAAGCTCGTGGATTCCCGCCCCGTTCAACAATCAATCTTGTGAGAAAGAGATAGGCGAGATCGCCGCGGTTAGCGTTGAAGAGACGAAGATTGTTTTTACTTAAATCAAGGAAAACCTTTGATTTTTCTCGGTCATAAGTTCTGAGGAACTTTTTCGAGTGTCTTAGACCGTTGGAGGACACCCATTCCAAGTTACGGATAGAGTCTTCCAGATTCTTCAGTTCCGCTTTCAGTTGGTTCCCGTTTGGAAAACAGAACGGTTCTGGTCCAGTTAGTGGAGTGTTCGCTCCTTTTCTAGCTAGATCATTTTCTTTTTCATTGCCTTCTATCCCTTGGTGAGCAGGCACCCAGAGTAGGAGGATTTTATTTTCTTTTCCTAATTTGTTGAGCTTCTCTTGACTATCGGATAGGATGGCAATTTCCTGTTTTCGATAGTTCCTATCTAAGATAAATTGTACGCATTTTTCGATAGCGCAAATTTCTGCCTGAAGGATACTGGGGTAGGTGCACATTGGTTCGGAGTATTTAGTTTTCGGCCCAAATATTCCTATCCCTGTCACTGCTTTGGTTTTGGAAGCATCAGTATACCACGTGATGGTATGGTACTCAATACTACAGTGAGGTGTTTCTCAAAGTTGTAAATTCTTTGTATGTCATCCACTGGGAGTTGGAGAAGTGGAATTTTCTTTTTGAGGGTGTTCCAAGCCCCTGACCTGAAAATTCTCCCAGTACTGTTTCCGTCAATGACCATTCTAATCATTGTCGCATTGGCATAGCTACCGACGACAATGTGCAGTGGTGTTAGGTCTAGAATGACCTCCATTGCTGCTGTTGGACATGTTCTCATGGCACCTGTGATGCAGATACATGCCAGTCTCTGTACTTTGCACAGGTTTTGCCTTGCTGTACGTTGCTCTAGTTTTGTATACCAAGCAACTGCTCCATAAGTAATCATGGGTCTTCCACATCTATCATGGTATACATCCAGCGCAAAATGTTAGGGGCACAGCCCCACGTATTTCCCGCCTATCATGAGAGCCTTTGTGGCTTTGCTGGTAATGTTCTTAATATGCCTGTTCCAGAGAAGTTTACTATCCAGGGTTATTCCCAGATATTTCATTTCCTGTGATGGCAGTATTTCCTTTCCATCTAGATGAATTTTTTTCGTTTTTCAAACTTCGCTTTCTGGTGAATGGCACTACTGCGGTTTTATCTGAGTTAATACTCAGCCCGACAGTCCTGCACCATCTCTCAGCGATGCGGAGTCGTCTTTGGATAATATCACACAGGGTGCCTTCATGTTTCCCCCGTGCAATGATGACTATGTCATCTGCATACCCTATGCAGTGTATTCCCGCTAGAGTTAATTCTTCCAGTAGTTCATCCACTACCAAGCTCCACAGTAGGGGGGAGGTCACTCCACCTTGTGGAGTTCCTTGCGTTGTTTTAACAACTACAGTTTTGATACCTATCTCAGCCTCTGCTGTTCGTGTTGAGAGCATTTCCCAAAACCAGCGAATTATCGTACTGTTCACCCCTCTTGTTTCAAGAGATCGCTTGACCACCTTGTGAGATATATTGTCAAACGCCCCTGCAATGTCCAAGAAGGCACAAAGTATATCATAAAGTTCCAATTATACCAACTTATTTCTTTGTGAAATAAAATAAACTACTTTGAATTTAAAATGACGACATCTATCACTGAAAAGGTTTTTGTCGTTGGACAGACTATATGACCTTATTAATGTAAAGTCTGTCCAACGAAGGAATACGGGAAAGTGAGATGTAGTGTGTCACTTCAATTCACAGGTAAATTATTGTATTTTCTGTTAAAATTTTAAAATGAAATGATTGATAAGCACCTGTCGTCTTAGCACGAGCCACTCCACTAACCTATCACGCACATCCAATCGAAAAAATTCTCAACAGCGTCAACAAAGTTGGTATGTTAGAATTGGCTTTGACACAACGTCTAATCGAGATTTCCTTGAATGAAACAACTCATTACCGTAATCTCGATTTAAAAATGTATTATGCAAACCAGCCATCATGTAACATTCTCGTTTCGCATTTTGTCAGGGTTGCAATATTGCAATTCCGAGGAAAATATGAATTCGTATGAATATATAGAGCATATTGCGGCATACCTACATGGAAGGAAATCGATATTTCGAAGTTTTTTTACTTGTTTATCCTATCGTCGACAAATGTACTTTTCCCGGACTTCAAAGAGATACGTTTATTCTGGTTTTTGATGAAAAAGATCAAAGAAATCTTTGCTGCAGACATTTTTAATAACTTGGAGTGAATGAAAGTCCAGAAATGAAATTTTGCCATGTTTAAATGGAGTTATATTTTCAAATTCCAAAAGTTTTATCCTTTTTTATATTTATTATAAAAACATAGTATGTTATATTAAAATTATTATTTAATTTTAGAAGAAACTACTACCTAATTCTATAATAGTCAGCGGCGTAGCTTGGGCAATGACAAGATAAGTGACATCTGTCTAAAAAAGACAGCGATTTAGAGTGACAATTTTGTTATGTAAAATTGAGGGCTACAAACCAAAACAAAATATTTTGATTTCATTCAATATGAGTTATTTGGATCACATTGTCTGTCCGTTTGTCTGTAACACGATAACTCAAAAACCGCTAAACCGATTTTACCCAAATTTGGCACAAAAATACTGTGGCACCCGAGAATCTGGCCATTAGTTTTTGGTGGGGGTGGGTGGTTGGTAAGGGAGTATGGAAGGGGGTTAAAAATTTAAAAAAAATCGTAACTCTAAAATTACAGTAGCTAGCGAAACGCGGTTTTCAATTTAAGATTAGGAATAATATTTGCAACAAAATTTGTAATAACATCAAAATCAGTAAAAGTCGCAGTTTTTGAGATAATTGAAACTAAAAGAACTGCCTACCAACTTTTTATTAACACGTGCCTCCCGGCGCCAATTTTTTTCATTTAAAATGTATAGGCAATATTATATTTCAGAAAGATTTTGCTATAAATATACATTATATTTTCCTTTGAATTTTAAAATTTCTGCACATTCTATCTCTTCAATCGACGCTAAAATTAGAACCAGCTCCTATATCTCGATATACGTCAGCAAAAATAGCCTATGCAAACGCGTCGATGACGTCACTCCGGTAAATATCCTTAATAGACTGTCGTTTATTTTCTGGACGATTTCGATAACAAAGGCGCAGCAGACGGCAACATCCAGCCGGCGGCGCTCGCCAAAGAAATATCACGTGGGCTGTGATCCAGTGAACCCCATCGGGGTCGGCGTAATTAATTATCATAGAGGGCGTTGCTATAACTAGTCGTGAAAATGGTAGGGGTCATTAGAGGCGGTTTTAATTAGAAATAAATCGACTTTGAAGTGGGGGGAAATGTGAAAGTTGACATTTATTGATTATTTAGTTGATTTATCACAATGCATAGGAGTTCTGGATAACTAGAACATTGAGTATATATTTGATATCAATTAAACTTTTGGTTACATAATCAAAGGCGCGATTTTTAAATTCGTCGTTGCCAACCATTAAATATTCGGCGCCGGCTTGACTAACTGGAATTTAAATTTCGCGAATAAGACCAAATAATAAGTCAAATTGATCTTGGTTGAATTATTTTTATTTTACTTTATTATTTTCTATAGTTAGCCTTGAAGATTAGTTAGTCCTGTAGCGTAGTCAGCCTTGACATGTAGTTAGGCCCGTAGCGTAGTTAGCCTTGAAGAGTAGTTAGCCCTGTAGTGTAGTTTGACTATTAACTTGTGTATTTTTTTTAGCCTGTGTAGCATTTTGATAGCCTGTGTGGCTTGCTTTTTTAGCCTGTATGGCATTGGATAGCCTGTGTGGCATATTTTTTAATAGTCTGTGTGACTAGCCTGTGAGACATTTTGATAGCCTGTGTGGCTTGCTTTTTGCCTGTATGGCATTGGATAGCCTGTGTGGCATATTTTTAATAGTCTGTGTGACTAGCCTGTGTGGCATGTTTTTTAGCCTGTTTTAGCACTTTTAGCATGTTATTTAGCCTAGTTTTTTTAGCCTGTGTGGCATTTGATAGTGTGTGTGGCATATTTTTTTAATAGTCTGTGTGACTAGCCTGTGTGGCATGGTTTTTTAGCCTGTGTGGCATTTTGATACCCTCTTTGGCTTGTTTTTTAGCCTGTGTGGCAGATATTTTTAATAGTCTGCGTGACTAGCCTGTGTGGCATTTTATTATTTTATTTAAACTTATATTTTTAGGTTGGACAATTAATAAATTATTCAAATACCTGTTTAATTTTAAATTCACTTTATTTTAATAATAACTGGTAACATTGTTGCTCACACCATGTTTTTTCTTTAATTGCAGGTAGGTCATCTCGGTAGCCAGGTCATACAAGACTTTTGTTGCTATACAACATTTGTCCATTTGCAGCGCCCAGATCAAAGTTCGCTATTACCATTAGTAACGTACCATCTATTAGTATTGTTTTTATTTTATATTATTATTATTTACGCCCTTTAAATTTGTTTTATGGTTTTTATTTTTAAGTTTGAGTTGACCGCTTGAAAATAAAAAAATTGGCCCTTACACCTATGTTTATAAATAATATATTTTGGTTTCCTAAAATATTTTGATTAAAAGAAAATATGTAAAAGTGGGCAGAGCTGTGCCGGTAAAGCTTAATCACGTGACTAAACGTTTATTTGGTATAAACTATATATACTCTGTTTTTTTTCTCAGGTAAGATTTCGACAGACGATGACAGAAGAAAAGCAGATGACGTCCCATACCAATCTATTTATTTTACTAAAAAAAGTTTCTAATAATTTTAAGTTATCTATGGATGGGTTTAAATATAAATCCGTCATGCGTCGTGTCTTGTTGTTTTTAACCAGTTTTATTGGTTTATAATACGCCGATGCGTATGAACTCGCCTTTAGATTTTTGTCATTTTTGACGCTTGTCAAAGTCTTGCCAAATTATAGGTTATAATTTTGTGTCAACTTTTGTTAAATACCCTGCGTTTTGGAAGATGATGCATTTTGATTCGTATTATTACGTGTGTTTTGTGTCTTTTCAAGTCAAGTGGAGGAAAAATCGAGTGAAAATTAACTGTAGACCCAGAGCACAGTTTATGGTTAATACTCGCTGCCCAGACAGAAAGTCTTATACACCCCATCGTTAAAGTTTGTATACCATCTCGTCGTAGATAAGTGCATCTCGTATATGGTAGAAGGATCAAACTAAACACATACTAAAAAACTGGAGTAGATGTAAAATATCGACATCACACGATAGGTAAATAATGGATTTTAGTACTGCAGAAAAATAATGTCAAAAGGTACTGGTTTAAAAAATTAAGATTAAAGTTAATTAATCAACCTTTAAGGTATAAAATTTGGTAGGTGTTATTATTAATAAAATAGTTTGTTTTATTTACCTATGTTGTTTTATTTATTCCTGTGGAATATTACAAATTTGTATTTGTACATAAGTTATATTGATAAATATAATCATAAATGCGGGTAGTTTCATAAAGCTTGAAAGTAAAAAATAGTTCTTTTTTATATTTTTTTGGTATGTAGTGTCATGTTCTTGTTTGTTTTGTATTAACACATACCGGTTTTATTAAATAAAATAACTCGATTACATTTTTTCAGTTTTATACAGTTTTTTCACAATATTTTGAAGTAATCACTTGTCATCTTGTCAATCAAATTTTAAATATTTCCTGCTATGCGTTCCAGTTGTACCAACTTATTTCTTTGTAAAATAAAATAAACTACTTTGAAATTAAAATGACAGACACATCTATCACTGTCAAGGATCTTCTCGTTGGACAGACTATATCGGAATTTATTAATAACAGTTATTATTTTATAGAGTGTATGCAGGGTTATTCACCTCATTTCAAACAACTTCATTCATTTCAAAAGGTACAATAATATACAAAATATAAAAAACAACCTCGTATCAAATTTATTTTATTTGGATTTGGGTACAAACTATAGAATTTTTTTTTCAAACGTCACAAAAGTATTAATTTTTGCGACGTCATTGACAAAAATAAAAATGCCATTTTAACGCTTAAGCAAAGAGAAGAAAAAAAAAAATTTCTATAGCATAAAAGTACGAAAACTGTCAAATTCAATTGTGTAACTATAATTACTTACAAGGTATTAAGCTTCATTTAGAACTTCGCAATTAGGGGAATAAATTAGTGGTTTCAATTAGCGTAAGTTTGTTACTCTAATTCGAATGTAAGCATTCAAAACGTCAAAATTAGTGGTAGGAATTTTCAGTTAGTGGAAAAAGTTACCAAACATTTTTCTAATTTTCTCCACCACCTACATCTTATTTTCCCTAAAACCTTTTTTTAAACGACGAACTTAAAGAGACAAATTAGTTTAGCGAAAAACCGCAAAGGACGCTTTGCTTCAATTTAAAGCTTTCAAAGGGATCGTTGAGATAAAGTTATTTTTTCCCTCGAAAAAGCCTCGGGGCCAATTGAGACATAAAAGGTGTCCGGCGAGTTGTAAAATAAAGACGAGACAGCAAAATAAACCTTGCCAGGACGAATTTAGACCCGCCATTAAAACAATCTTGTTTACTAAAAGTTCTTCAAGTAGTTTTCTTTCTTGAGTCTTGACATTAAGGAGAATTACCGTATACTCACCGAGTCCAGTAAGCTAAACGACATATATACAGGGTGTCCCAGGTTGAGCGTGCATTAGAAGTTCCTAGAGAACTACAACATCTAGCTCGGAGATTTTTTGCACATCATAGTTTCACAATCAGATCTATCGATTAAAAATATTTTCAATATGGCGGCACATCCGGAAATACCGGAAGTTGACAGCAAACTTTCTTATTTTAAATGGGGGTCCCCATTTTTTATTACATACTTAAATTCTCTCTAAAATTTCATGAACTTTGATGTCAAACATTCTATATCTAACATTGACCGTTTTTTAGAAAAAAAAATATTTTAAATTTTTGAACTTAAAAATTAGAGTCAATCAAAAGTGTAGTAAACATTTTTCGTAAGATTATTGACATACATGTTACAAAGTATATTTTTACAATCCTTTTTATAAAGTTACAACCTAAATAAAATTTATTTTTAATGATTTTAAAGTTTGACAGACATGCACAAATTGTTGGCATTTTTTTAAACAAGTAAAAGTAGAAAATATATAAAATTGTAGGTACTTTCAAGAAATATAGTTAACTGTAAGTGCTGTATTTTAAAAATCTATCAAAAATCAAAATCATCAGGATAATATTAAGTATTGATTTTCAGACAAGAATTAGATTACAGTGATGGTCAAAAGCATTTAGATATTGCTTTGGAATCTACAGATAAGGTATGGCAGTTTCATTTTAAAGAACAAGATGTTAAAGTTTGTGATAAAATTGTCATCAGAAATACTGTCCACTTCAGTATTTACATAGGAAAATATTGGAGGACGAAGCTCTACCTACTGCATCAGGTTAATTTAAATTCTGAATTACAACAACAGCAACAAGCAAGAAGGGCACCATTAAATGAATATTATACACATAAGTATTATTATACACAGAAAGACTAATGTTATACACATAAATATTAACATTTTGTAGAGCAACAACAAAATAAAATACCAAAATATGAACACCAGCAACTAAAACAGGAACCATTAAATGAATATTATACACGTAACTACAATTTAATCGAATAAAAAACGGCGTCAGCGATGCCTATGAAATGAAGATTGCTGTCATTTTATATGCAAAATGATATGGAGAATGTCATCGAGATGTTCATTTCCAAGTCAACTGGACGCCGTGTTTTTTCGATCATACAGTGTTATTATACACATAATAAGTAATATTATACACATAAACATCCCTTGATAAAGATCAACATTTTGTAGAGCAACAACAGAATCAAATAATGGAAATAATGGACCCTATTGCTCAAATCAAAAACAAAATTTCAGCATTACCACTTTATTGGTTATATCAATAAAATAAATTATTGAGTTTATGAGTCTAGATCCTACAAGCAAGCAGATCTATCACATAATTTTAAATGAAGATTTATCTATTATAGTATGTATAAACACTTTGCATCTTTTATTCAATGTTGTAATGAATTAGCAAATTGCAGGTAATTTATTCTAATAACGAAAAAAAAACTTTGGATCAAAAAATATTTTCTTCTGATGAGGTTTATGAATATTAAAGTCTGTTGAAGTTTGGCCATTATGTGTTGGTATACAATTTATTTATGATGTTACAGTAGTTAAACCATCCGAGTACGAAACATGTTTAAAATCCACTGATCTAGTATATATAATATAGGATATTTCTACAGATAGAGAAAAAAGATAGAGAGATAGAGATATAGAAAATTTCTGACGTATGGAAATAAATTGTCTGACCGTTTGACACTTAATGTCAAAGGAAGCTAGATAAAATCAAGAAAAATATCCGTTTTCAATTAAATATTAAATAACTTAAAAACGATTTATTTTAGGTATAGGAACATGTATAGTTAAAAAGTAATGAATTCAAAAACCTTCATTAGTGAAATACAAAAAGTGGGTCACCATTTAAAAAAAATGATTTGTGATTATTTTTTAATCGTTCAATTCCATGACAGCTACCGCCATTATTACTTACGAAACACAGCAAAGAAAAGAGCTCTGAGGGCATTATTTGATCTGAGGCCAAATATAGGAGGTCCAAGATCCTCAAAACGAAAATTATATTCAAGCGTGGTTCATTCCAAAGTCTTCTATGGGTCTCCGGCATGGTTTATGGTAACTTCCAATAAAAGGCTTATGGCCAAACTTAGCAGCTGTCAAAGGACAGTTGTTATCAGAGTAATAACCGCATAAAGAACCATATCTACTGAACGGAGTTGGAGTTCTAGCACGGATACCGTCTATGGAACAGTACATAGGAGTAGGTTCAACTATAGCGAGGAATAACTTAATGGTTAAGTGGTAAGAAAAATGGGACTCAAGTAGCAAAGCTCGATGGGCCCATTTTCTTTATAGAGGTGTGGATTTTGTTTTACAAAATCCTTTGGTTATAAGTTTGTGACACATCTAGAAGTATGTTAGAATTTGGATGATATGTCAGTGAGTCAATGTCGAGAAATTTGACAAGCGATAATTTATAAACTATAAGGTATAATTACTAGATATTTTGGTAATCTAGTCTTCAATAGTATGTCCTCATGTTCAGTGAAAATTAATATTATTGCTTTATTCATCACGAAGTTGCAGGGTGGATAAAAGTGCCACTACTACCTTAAAGAAAAGGATTTTTAGGAAAATTAAAAAAGAAAATTTTATTTGTCATGTTTAAAATCTACTTGAGATTGTAGTGCGACCTGGTTTCTCAACAATTTTTTGTTTAATATTTTATTAATTACTAGCCCGTAAGAATTAATGTCAGCATGTCAGCAGTCAAAGACATTTATGTCAGCATGAGAAAAAACAATATGGCGATATTATTATATAACTTGGTAATAATATTTGAGGGGTAGTTTTATCTCGTTGGAATTTAACTTTCGAAAAATACGTTTGCCAGAAATAAGCTTTTTACGTCAAGCAGTTTAAGCAGAATCGTGGTTAAGAAATTACCCAACTTTTTGGAACACCCTCCATGATTTTTAAAAAAAAATCAAAATATGTAAAAAAACCAAATAAATTATGCTTGTCCAAGCGTTTTCCCGAAAGACTAACCGTTTTTTAAATAACAAATATTGTAATATTTGATTCGCGTTTTCACCCTCTTGGAATTTGAGATTCGAGAAACCCCTCCTTATCGAACCTCTACACCCCACAGTCAATCCGTTTGCCAAAAATCAGCTTTAAACGTCAAGCAGTTCAAGCAGAATCGTGATTACTCAATGGTCATATTTTATGAAAGACCCTGTATAAATTTATAAAAAGTCTTAAAATATGTAAAACAACAAAATAAAATATACGTGTTTAAGAGTTTTTCTGGAAAACTCACCGGTTTTTAAATAAAAAATATTTTAATATTTGAGGGATAGTTTCACCCCCTTAGAATTCGAGTTTCGAAAAATCCCTTCTTATCGAACCTCTACACCCTAAAGTCAATCTGTTTTCCAAAAATCAGCTTTTTACGTCAGGCGCTTTAAGCAGGATCGTGATTAATCAATGACCAGATTTTTCGAAACACACTGTATACATTTTTAAAAAATTTTAAAATATGTAAAAAAACAAAATAAAATATACGTGTTTAAGCATTTTTTCGGAAACTAGGCCGTTTTTTAAATAAAAAATATTGTAATATTTGTGGGATGGTTTCACCCTTTTGGAACTGGAATTTTAAAAAATCCCTTCTTATCGAACCTCTACACCCTAGAATCAACCTGTATGCCAAAATTGAGTTTCTTATGTTGAGTGGTTTGAGCAGGATCGTGATTAATCAGTATGTCAGTCACTTAAGGATTTTATATATTAGTATAGATTGCAACAATAACAAAAGCATAGCATACCATATTTTGTGATTTATGGAAATTATTAACCGAATACCTCGTAAATTATATACGTATTTCCAATCCATTTTCGATATTATATGCAAGCAATTATCATATTTACATTCAATTTTATGCAGCCCCCTGTTTTATCGATCCAGTCTGGGACTGCTGCATCAAATTGGGGCGCGAAGCTGGAGCCAGGGCAGGATGGGGTAGAAAATGAAGAGACAAAATAGATAGAAAGAGATGGGAGGGAGTGAGATAGAGATATTGTGCATCTAGAAGTAGGTCAAGTTATTTGGGGTGAAATAACTGAATGAAACCACAAGCAACAAATGTCAGTTACTGTGTATCGTGTTATATCGTGTTACGTGTTACTTTTACCCACTATTTTATCTTGAATGAAACGAAGTAACGTTAATTTTAATAGATTTTAACATAAAAATGTTTGAAATATATGGTAAGTGATATTATTACTAAGTAAAAATGCCTTTATTCCATTTGAAAATATGGATATATGAATAAAAATACGATTAGGGCATCTTTTAACCGGCAAGGACAAGACACGAAAAATTTATTTTTCTAAGGCTTCTTCATTAAAAATTGATGTTTTTAACACAGCCATGGCACTCTAGATTGAAATATCTGTCCTTAAAAGATGTTATTGCAAAAAATAACTACAAATATAATCAATCAAGAAATGTAAATCATATTCTGCTAAATTATGAAAAAGTAATTTTCCCATGATAAAACTGTTTTAACTATTATGGTCAAAATAAGCTTAAGGTTTTAAAAGTGGTTTCTTAACGTAACCACATTTTTAAAATGTTATTATTTCTTCTTGAATTGATAAAATGGAGAATAAATATCTATACTAATATATAAAATCCTTAAGTGACTGACTCACTCATTAGTCACGATCTTGCTCAAACCACTCAACGTAAGAAGCTGAATTTTGGCATACAGGTTGATTCTAGGGTGTAGATGTTCGATAAGGAGGAATTTTTCGAAATTCCAGTTCCAAGGGGGTGAAACCACCACTCAAATATTACAATATTTTTTTCAAGTCAAGTTTCCAAAAAAACGCTTTACCACGTATATTTTATTTTGTTTTATTACATATTTTAAGCTTTTTTAAAAATGTGTACAGGGTGTTTCGAAAAATATGGTCATTTGTTAATCACGATCCTGCTTAAAGCGCTTAATGTAAAAAGCGGATTATTAAAACTGGGTAGAGGTTTCATAACAAGGGATTTTTCGAAACTCGAATTCTAAGGGGGTGAAACCACCCCTCAAATATTAGAATATTTTTATTTAAAAACCGGTGAGTTTTTTCGGAAAAAATCTTAAACATGTATATTTTATTTTGGTGTTTTATGTATTTTTTAAAAATTTATACAGGGTGTTTCATAAAATATGACCATTGAGTAATCACGATTCTGCTTAAACTGCTTGACGTTTAAAGCTGATTTTTGATAAACGGATTGACTGTGGGGTCTAGAGGTTCGATAAGGAGGGGTTTCTCGAATCTCAAATTCCAAGAGGGTGAAAACGCCCCTCAAATATTACAATATTTGTTATTTAAAAAACGGTTAGTCTTTCGGGAATTTTTTTTCAATAGTGTGTGCACTATGTGCGTATATTTTTTATTACTAACATCTATTAAATTTAAAAAATGTCTGTATTGTATAGTAATTATGTATAGCGTGCAGTATCTAATTAATAACTAAAAAAAATTAAAGTACCGCAGCGCGCTTCCTTACCACTTTTTGTCTCGCTAGCTCGTGTGTCACGACCTTTAATTTTTACTCCCAGCGCGCGTAAAGCCGATTAACTTCAAAATCTATATTTATATATGATATAACTGGTACTAGAAGTTGCATTTTATTTTATATTTATACAATATAAACTATATGTATGACTACAAACTTAACAAATTACTTATGAAAATCAATTTAATTAAGATCCTTATTAAAATAAGAAAATTAGTGGTACAAATATGCATTTAAGAAGAAGGTCAAGTTGTACGCGATTAAAATGAATGGGACATAGTTTCAGTTTAACAGAAAGCCTTCAAAGATGTAGAAAATTATCAAGAACGAGTATATATAGATCAAAGTATTTTAGAGTACATATACTCTGTTTTTTTTCTCAGGTAAGATTTCGACAGACGATGACAGAAGAGAAGCAGATGACGTCCCATACCAATCTATTTATTTTACTAAAAAAAGTTTCTAATTATTTTTAAGTTATCTATGGATGGGTTTAAATATAAATCCGTCATGCGTCGTGTCTTGTTGTTTTTAACCAGTTTTATTGGTTTATTTAAAAAATGACAGATCGTATTTCAATTTTATTGGTTTGACGGAACGATGAACGACAAACGGACGCCGATGCGTATGAACTTGCCTTTAGATTTTTGTCATTTTCGAGGCTTGTCAAAGTCTTGCCAAATTATAGGTTATAATTTTGTGTCAACTTTTGTTAAATACCCTGCGTTTTGGAAGATGATGCATTTTGATTCGTATTATTACGTGTGTTTTGTGTCTTTTGAAGTCAAGTGGAGGAAAAATCGAGTGAAAATTAACTGTAGACCCAGAGCACAGTTTATGGTTAATACTCGCTGCCCAGGCAGAAAGTCTTATACACCAATGAAGTTGCCATCGATAAAGTTTGTATACCAT